TCAGACGCTTGGCACCGACGGCAACACTATCGGGACTTGTGGGCAATCTATCTGGAGCAGAGCGTGGGGTTGTCCGAGTCTTAGCACTTGCTTGCCGTGAGGATCGGATTGGATGGCGTTGACTCTGTGTGTGTGTAAGAATCGACTTGGAGTGTGCCTACACAAGGAACCCGACATGTCAGCTGTAAGGGGGCAGCATCGTTCGCCAGCGACTGTCATGTCTAGAGACGTCAAGACCCAAAGTAGCATCAGCGTTGGTGCTAACATCCTACTTGGAAAGTCATCTATTCAATTTAGGGCTCTCCTTTTGCCCCCCGTGCTCGTCTGTTCGAAGCAATGGGATCAATATTGCGACTCTGCCCTCAGGCTATAGCATCTGATAGCACCAGACCGTGGCCTGTTGTCAGCACTTTATTCCGTCCAGTCTCGGCTCGTATACATTGGGTTAGTACATGATGCTGCCCACCGCCCTGGAGTGCAAATCAGCAGCTCCGTAGCGGCGGTATCCGCCCTTCTGCCGTGAGTCAATCCCGTCTGATGGCCCCCGCCCAGCGTCAGGTACAGCCCCGGGGAGCCGTCCATCGATATCCGGTGGCCCCCCAAGGCGCCCAAGAGCCCCCAGCCGCTCCACCACAGCGCTGCCAGTGCCCTAAGCTTCTAAAGACAGCACCGCTAGCGCGTGGGGTCCAGCACGATTGCAACCTGCAGCGGGTCAGCGTCACCTCATTCTTTCAAGTTTCAACCTCCACGGACGGGACGGCTACAAGCACATGGCCACAGCACAGCTACTAGTCTATCGTACTGAGTATTACGACAACGACGACGTCGACTGCTGCACAGGACACGCACTAGCATTGATTAAAACGATCATGATGGCGCAACTAGCAGCGGGTGGTGCGTGGGAGAGCGCATGTACCTGCTAGTACCGCTGGCTGGGCTTCATGATGCAGCTCGCCCAGAACGGACGACTCCAGACTCTATAGCGGACGGACCTGCCGATGGGCTGAAGACCTCTCCTGCAGCGACTCGGCGAGTCATGCGGGCCCTGATACGTCGAAAAAACATGACGGGACACGTCCTGGCTCGCCGATCTGGGAGCTGGAGCGCACCGAACACAGAAGTCTGGCAACAATGGGCAACATGGAGACGAACATTGTGGTGACAGCTCAGATACACACGCGACGTGCGGGCATGATGAGGAACTTGAACCATCCATATCCAGGCACGGACGGTACGGACAGTACAGTACGGAGTCGCATCGCCATCGCCATCACCGCCCCTCAACCGCCATCACCGTCACACTGCTGACAGACGCTTGACAGCACAGAGGCGATATACAGCAACAGAGGAAAAGAAACGGAACGGAAATCATCGTCATCGCCGTCATCGTAGTCTCGCAGACGCTACTTCGCACCCGCATCGACGTCTCATTGCATCAGATAGCTCGCTCGCGCAGAAAATGAGCGCCTCGGGACGAACGAAGCAGAAACGAAACATCGGTGCATCGGCGCTCCGGAATGCCACCACCAAAGATGACAGGCAACGGCGCCACTCGCTCCCGGCGATGCCTAGTGCCACAGACCTCAAGCAAGCAGCAATATGAAGCAAGCAAAGGGCAGCATGGCAAGCACGAAGCAAGCATGAGACAAGCAAGTTGAAATTGCGTCCTGCAGCCCAGCAGCGCTAGCCAGCAAGATTGTCATCGCATGTTTCTCGCGGTCAGTGTCCGACTTTCTGCTTTGCTCCGCCATTCTACGCAGTCTCGGGCGCCTTTCCCGCGCAGCAACGGCGGAGCGCCGGCTCTGGTGGCACAAGCAAAAGGGAAACATTACACTGGAGACTGACCCTCCTCGGATCATCACGTTGGTTGGCCATTCTTGTCTCATCGTTGCGGATGTGTCTTACAACCCTCCTTGACGCATTATTCTCACGCTCTGTTCAGCACGCCAGGGGTATTTGCCTTCTTTTTCCCATTCTTTTGCAATTTCTCTGGTGCATTTCTTGATTTTCTTTCTTTCTCAAGCCGCAATGTGTGGTGTTTTTTCTTTATTTCTTACCCACCCACTCGGATGCACCTACTTGGGGCCACAGGCAGACGCCGTCCATCCTGTTACTATCGTGTCTTTCTGAAGCCGTCATCCCATCTGATGCCACCGAGATGCTCCCACCAGTTGTAGCTACCGCCATGCCGTACCTCGACCTACTACTAACTCGTCGTACTTGTACATATAGTGATGCTGCGAGTGATGCTGCGAGTGATACCGCAGCTCCCGCTTGAGCGGGTTGGGCGTTGCGGTTGCTGGTCAGACCCAGCCACGTTCATGTCTCTTGAGTCATTCCGCCGAACATCACGCATCACATCAAGTCATCCCTTGTCGGTCGTAGAGCGAAAGATGAAATGAACGCCCTGCATCTTCTGTGCGTGCCAGTTGAGTTGCGACTTGAGCTGTACGAGTATGTACGATGTGATTTGATGTGCGCGACCACTTAGCTGGCCCCCCCGTTCCTCTGCTTCGCACATGAGGAGGAGCCCCCACTCTAGTGACGGCCGCTAGACAGCAGATGGATGGATGCTGGGAAAAAGAATTGGAGAAACGGATCAAGTGCTTTTTGGCCAAGGGTCATGTAGGGTTCTGGGGTCTTTCGGTGCCGGTTCGCGCTTGGGCTGTAGCAGAAGCCCTATTTGGGGGACGTCTCGCATGCGCCCCGGTCTGATGCCAGTGGGGAAAGGATTTGATGGAGATTGCCGTTCTGGCCAGGGCGAGGGCGTGTCTGTAGGGATGTACGAGGTTTTCACAGAGTACATGCGTACGAGGGGCTGTGAGCTGCTGGCAGATGCGGGTAGGTGCTGGTGTATCGACTGCTCCGATCAGCGTCTGATCCTCTCTCAGCCAGCACAGCATTCGAGGGTGCAGATGAAATGCATGTCATGGTAGGTGGTCGTCTGGTTTTACTGTAGATGATGACTCTGAGTACAAGCACGAACACCTGCGACTGGACCCGTCCAGGTACCCGTACCTCGAATCGACCCTTCTCTGCGAAGCTCGGTACGTACCGCGATATCGATACAATGACGCTCAAGTCCCGTCGATCTTGCTTCAACTGTTCAGGTTCTGCCTTGGCGCCTTGCTGCTCAGGCTCCAGGGCTCTGCTCCCCCAACTCACTCTCAGAATAAGGTATCATCATCTCCAATACGCCATCTTCGCTTTGGCCGCATCCATCCATCTTCCCCTCCGTTTCCTGGGCTACAATGGAAACCACACAAACAGACGTCTGCACTAATCCGGGGGCTAAAACAGGACCCCTTGTTTCTCCTCGTCCTCTCCCGCCGCCACTAGCAGCTGGCAGGCGCACCAAAGGCCGGCGCCCACCGACGGGGCTTCGATTTCTGGCAGACGGGCATCATGGCTGGCGCAGCGCCTCAGGGCCCAAGTCGCGCCGAGATTCTGGCGGGCAACCACAGGACGATTCGATGCGACTCACTGTCCTGACGCCTTTTCTGCTCCCCCTTGTGCTGCTTTCCCCCCTCCAGTTCCAGCTCGGGGACCCGGCCAGCTTTCGGCCACCACCCGCTCCACTACTGATGGCCAGCTACTGTTCTATTCTCTGCTCCGTGAGGTGGCCTGCGTGATGTATCAGAGGCTGCATGTCGCCTCGTGTCTGCCTGCTTTTTGCTGAGGTCTGGTGCAATTTGCGACTGCAACGACTCCCAGATTTAGCTGTCTACTACACCGCCGTCAAGGGTTTGTCGGCTGCTCGCCAATGCCTTTGTGCGCGTCTGCCGGGGTATGATACATGACTGCTGTTGTTTGTGCTGTTGGTCGTCGACATGAAGAATTGATACTACCGCGTCCCATCTAACTGCTTCTGCATAGTTGCGCGGGATAGTCGGGCCAGGCTGGACAACCACCTCACTCACGGCCACGAGAGCCGCTGAAGACAACGGCCTGTCCCCCTGCGATTCGGCAGATGGGCTGCTGCTAGGGCACTTATGTGCCCTTGTCCCGCTGAAGCAGCACACGGAGACTGCCACGGAGAGCTGTCCTGGCCCATCAACGGCAAAGGCCAAGACGAGACAAGGCCCGGTACCAAGTACGAAGTACGAGAGCAGCTCAGATCGGCTGTCGACGTCTGTCCGTCCATCCAGCCAAAGCCCTGCCCCTCCATGCAATCAATGCTGAGCCCCCCGGCTGAGTCCAGGTTCCGCACAGAGTCACCTCCACGGGGCGTGTGCGTCGACACCAGCCGCTTGTCCACATCTGGGCAGCCAAAAGCCCACTGCTTGTACTACTCCATCCCCAAGAAGCTGCCGCAGCCGCACCCTACGGCCGGCCGGGGGGTGGGGGAGTGTACAGAGATCCTACCAAAAACATCCCCCAGCGACAGCCAATGGGGCCTATCTTGGTAATGCATCTACTTGAGGTGAGGCTCTGTCCTTTCTTTCTCGAGTTCCGGCGTACCACTTGCTGGCGTTGCTCTTCTTGTAAGGTATGTATACCAATATGTCACCAGCTCGATGGATCTCGGTCCCAGACTCCCAGCCCGATCCATATAACAAGCCTGGAGCTCCCCATCCTTCTTGGAGCCCTGGACCATCTCTTCATCTTTCTCCTGACGACAATTCGCTTGCTCTCAAGTCTTCCCTAGTCAACTTGCTTGCGTCTTTCCAAGTCTATCTTGACCTGCCTCTCTCACGTTCTCTCCACCCCTCTTCGTCGTCTTTGTCTCCAGCGATTTTTCCCCATTCGCAAATCAAACGCCGTGTTACATCTCTCATAACTCTACTGCGTATACACGACGACGACCACCAATCGCCTGTTTTGCTCTTATATGGCACCCCTTGCTTCGTCAACCACCACTCTACCCCTTGCACCCTGAGCTGAGAGCCGGCATACTCATACCGACCCTTGCTGTCTCGAAAGTGTAATTTCGCCGCTTTCGAATGCCCTGTTTCGAAATCAAGGGAAAAGAAAATCAGATACAAACTTTGTTTATCAGAATGGCTGCGCAAAACTGCACCTCCGCTGCCTCGTCTCTCCCCCCTTACTCCACGCCGACCGTTGTGAACGGTGGACGGCTTGTCTACGACTACGAAGTGCCCGCCTCCCTAACCCACGCACCCATGGGAGGAGACCATCTCTATCAGCCAATCGACCCGATGCTACGAGAGTCGGCAGACGGCGGCCAGCAGCTCTGGGGAGTTCAGGACATGTCCTACTTTCAGCAGCCGTCCAGCGAAGCCTGCCTCGACCCCAGTCTTGCGCCCGGCGCCGCGGGCCTCTACCAGCCAGCAGTCGGACGAAACGACTCGCCCTTCTCCTTCCAGCCCTCGCCGGCCTTCAGCTTGATTGAAAGTCCGTCTATTGGCAGCGATGCCAACTATGAGATTGTGGACCCTGCCACGCCGCCGGACGCGCATCTGTCGCTCGGAAACTCATACGACTCTGACTACTCCTACGACTCCAACGTGGAGCAGTCAGACACCAGCTTCTACCCAGACTCATCATACTACGGCGGCGTGGACATGGTCACAGTCAATGGCTCATACGTGTTCGGCTCCGCTCCCAATGGTAGCCCCCTGATGCCCGCCGGCAACGCACACGGTGGTCACATGGGTTCCTTCCAGACCACTCTTCCCTACGTCAGCTCAGCCAGGCACATCAAAGAAGAGAGCCTGCCACCGAGTGTGGACGAAAAGCTTTCCGCCGCTAAGGCCGCGAGGAGGCGTCCTCGCAGCTCCCGGTGCGATTTTGAGCCCGTCTCCTGCAAGCGAGCCTCTCCTGACGACGAGGGTTCGTCACAAGGCGAGAAGAGGCGCAAGACTCACATCACCAACAAGCGATTTTGCCACAAGTGCAAGAAGAACTTCCAAAGCCGAACGACGCTCGACGAGCACACGAACCTTGAGCACCCCCGACCCTACATATGCGTCTTCCACTACGCCGGCTGCACCGCTAGGTTCGATGCAAAGAACGAGTGGAAGCGGCACGTCAGCACAAAGCACCTCGGCCTGAAATACTGGGTCTGCACCGAGGGCAAGTGCGCCGAAGAGCGACAGTCGTCGTACCAGCGATACGCGGGCCTGCCTCTGTACGGCAACATCTTCAACCGCAAGGATCTGTACACGCAGCACATCCGACGGATGCACGCCACAGTCACTGGCCAGGGCACGACGGACTACAAGGGGGCGGACGCGCGATCCGACTGCATGGTCAAGAAGATGCAGGAGGATGCCCTGCGCATCCGGTGCAGGCTCCCGACCTGGATGCCTTGCCCCGTGCAGTCGTGCGACAAGGCCTTTACCGGCGCAAACGCCTGGGATGAGCGGATGGAGCACGTTGCCCAGCAACACTTTGACAACGCAGCTGCCGGCAGAGAGCCTCCGGTCGAGTTTGGAGGCCCCCATGACACCGTCCTGACCGAGTGGGCGCAGCGCTCCGATATTCGCATCGTCAAGAAGACGGAGGCGGGCTGGGAGCTCTGCGACCCCCTGAAGGGCGACACGGAGTATAGAATGGCCACTCCCGATGACGAGGAGTGATACTGCTTCTCCTTTGTTTTCCTTCTCTTTCTCCTTGTGTCTTCTGGGATAAAAAACTGATATTCGAAAATGTTCAACTACCCTTCTCCTTGACTCTGTTCTTTGGTTTTGGTGGGTTGAATTCACTTGGGAGAATATTGGTATACACTTTGTTGGTACGGGCTACAGAGTTTCGGCATGATGCCCTTGTTTACTAGATCATTTTCTGTTTACTATATTTTTTTTGTTTGTTTCTTTGTATTTGTCTCGCCACCTTTTTCTTTATTTTCTTCTACAATTTATACAATGTGCTCCCACGAAGCCTCTGAAACTCTTTCAAAAACTGGGATAGACTGGATAGGGGGGACTGGACCACCATAGAATTGAAGCACGGATTTTGTCTCTGTATCGAGTTGATCGTCCACTATGAAACGCGTAGAATGGCGCCCAACTACATATCGTATCGTAGCCTTGCGAGACTCGGCCCCCATGGTTCGCAGACCTGAAACAAGGTCTTCGTCCTGCTGGCCCTGGGTTCCCGTTGATTCCTTTGCCGGGAAAGGCATTTTGTTTCTCCTGGAGGGGGCGGGGAATGGGGGTGGAGAGGAGGCAGAGCCTCAAATTTTGGGGACAACCGCTAGATTCGATGTTTGACTGGCCCCTCGTGGGGGCCTGATGCAAGGCATAAGGAGGGAACGAAGACCTATTTGGTGCCCCATTTTACCTTATATCTTCTTCATTTGATCATGGCTTGGAAGTGGGACAGCCTTGTATAATGCTACTGAAGTGGTGATTCAAGAGCCAATGAGTTGGTTTGAATGTGTACGCTGCCGATACAAGGTAAGGTAGCCATCGGCACTGTAATGTGATAGTAGGACTTGCGTTGGTTTTGTTCCAGGTGCGTAGGACTTTTGGGTACTTGGGAGACGGGAGAGAAAAAGTCCGGGGGAGAGGGGGTTGGTGGATAAGAAAGGGGGAGAGGAGGAGGAGGGGGGGCGAATCTCGTTGTTATCTGCCTTGTCAGCCCTAGGGGAGGATTTTCTGGGTCCGTATGACGTCTGATTTGTGTTCACTTTGTTATGGTCCTGTGTCTCTGTGTGTATGTCTTGGTGCATAGTAGTAAGTAAGTAAGTAAGTAAGCGGTACTCTATGTGATTTGAATGGGATGGGGGTTGAAGTGTTTTTGTGTTACGGGGAAATGGTGGGATGTGGCGGGATTGATTTGACCGGGACTTGGCTTTTCTTTCTCCGAGACAGATATTTGCCCGTTATGGGGGTGAGTAATTTCTAAGATTGTTGGTTGGATGTTTCTGGGGCTTTCTGGGTTGTTCTATCTGAAGGGCATTTGCAAAGCTTATGAAGGAAGGGTTTTTTTGTCTGGATTTGGATTCGATTAGTGGTGGATAGGGGGGAGACAATGGGTCATTCTTTGGTGTCGGCATTTGGGCACAAAGAATTGACGTTGAAATTGACTCTTTAGAAAACATTGTGAGGGGGTTCTGCTGTCCAGTTTGTACAGAAAGGGGACTTTTGCTTTCCATATGCATCATCAGAGAACTTGCATTGATTCAGTGCGCCAGCTTATAAGCGCAGAAGTACAATGGAAAAAGAAAATCCCGGGGAAAAGTTGAGTTATGCGAAAAAGACGTGCGGCATTGAACCCTCTTCGGTCAAACCTTTCCCAATTTCCCAGCCTGCATCTTGCTTTTGCGGCTCTGCTCCAACGGAAATTCAAAACCATTGGACAGGAAAAAACTCCCAAGTTCGTGATGGGCAGCTCAGACGGAGAGAGAGAGAGCCTTGACTTTGGCACCCAGCTGCAAAAGCCCAAATATGCACCGCCTTCTACCCAGTAAATTAAAGAAACGGGGATCTTAAAGTACACGCCCCCCCTTTGTGTCACACAGGGTGCGTGCGAATGGTGGTTCGCTCGGGGTCGTCCTGTATTTTGTGTATATTGAAGTTACATTAGGCAAAAGAATTGAATTCCGGAAGGCAAAAAGCAAGGCAAGCAAGCAAGCCACTGATTGAACAGGCAACGCAAATGAGATGTATCTGACTAAGTATAAAAAAAACACACATCTGGTCAGGAGGCGGAGGGCGTTTTATATCTTTTTCCTCAAGGGAATGCATGTAGTGCTTTATGCATGTAGTAGCAGCATTAAGAAGGAGAATTGAAAAGGAGGACGATAAAAAGCAAGAAATGTCTAGATTGGCTCACTGAGCGAAAATTAAGAACAATGGCAGACAAAAACAAACAAATTGGCAGCGAAAAATCATCGCCATTACTCTAAGCATAGGTAGCTACCTACAAGCCGAATACTTCACGAGAGGCAGTGTAGCCAAAAACCAACCCACCACATACACGTATATTCTCGATTCACACGCATATAAATTTGGAAAATATGATCAACACAATAGCCAACCTCAAACACAAATTAAATTCCCAAAACCGAGTAAACCTCTCCCTCCTTCCCCTAAAGAAACACGCATCACATTCATTGCAAGTTATATATACCTTCCCTATCAATGTACCAGATACAATTACACAAAAGGGGGAAAAGGAGAAGACCGGAAAAAGCATTCAACACCAAAACCGCCTCGCCGTCGCACAAACTAAACAAATGTCACCAAATTAGGCCACACAAGCCCCCCCTACTCTCATCAAGGACATAATTAGCTCTCCCCCTTTGGTATTCCAAACAACCTATGATTATCCATGCCCTAGTACTTGAAGTGACTCGAAAGCATTTGAATGTAAGTTAGTTAGGTAGCAAGGAAATCAGCTTTCCGTATACCAAGCTCCTCAGCCCCCCCTTTTTCATGCCGTCATGCTCGTAATGTCTCAGACAGACGCAGGTAAAGTCTTCCCCCTTTTTCTTCCTCTGAAAACCTCCTTCTTCTGATGCTGGTAGTACTGTTTCCTCCTCACCTTCTTTTCTAAAAGTTGGTAGTACCATGCGCCACTCTCCACAGACTGGAGAGGCACCAATTCCACCTTCATCCTCATTCTTCCTCCCCATCAAGGCCCTTCTTGTCTCCTTCCGAGACTCCTGAGCCACCCAGTCCCACTTGATGGTCTCACCCCCTCATTCCAAATATCTGGAGCGTGCAATTAGGATGAGCATCATGCTTGACAGCCCTCTCCTGGTGCGTCCCTCCATCATATATTGTACGAGCGGCAGATGGCACCAGGAGTAGACAGGAGAGTATAGATAACCATGCATATGGTATACTTTGAACCCTAGCTAATCTCACAATCTGATCAACTGCTGTGCTACACGAGACGCTCCGTCACCCCAGTGTCCACAGCCCCTGGTCCAATCTCCTCGTAGAATCTCCCCTCCAAGCTCCCAAGCCTCGTAGCCTCCAATCTTGAAGCCGCATGTAACGTAGTATAACGTAGCTATTCATACACAGTTGTTCCAAAGACCTCTGACAATCCAGTCCTTACAACTCAGCCCATTACTTCGCAGCTCGTAATCCTGCCAGTTACCACCAGGCCACAGCCAGACAACAGCCAGGCCACTCGTTCCATCAGGGATAATCCTGGAGTCGGCCGCCACCTGATTTCCCCAAACGAGCAATTGAAAGACATGTTCAAACAACCATATCCACTCCATTGCGGCTGATTCCGACGATCTGCATGATGTGGCCGAACAGTGTAAAGTATAAAGAAAATGGAAACAAAAAAGCATAGAAACAAAAGCCAAACCTTTCGATGCAAATTAGTGGGCTAGGGGAAAGGGTGTTGGCTCCCTGACCACATCTCCACACGGGTACTGCTCCCTAAACGCCACCAAGAGCGTCGGGCCAAGCTTCGTATCCGAGGCCATCACCACTACGCCCGATGCCGTACGCCTCACGATGAGGCAGAGGCTTCGCTCTTTTGCATCGGGGGCTTGGTCTCTCCCCTGTCCGTCATGCTCCGCTGAGCTCGCCGCTGCTGTCTTAGACGACACTCCAGGGCATAGCCCGGCTCGTTTGCCTTGCGCCACTCGATCCACGCCTCGTATGCCTGTTGATCTCCAGGATCAGGACGTCGAGGCTTGGGCACCGGCTGCGGTGGATGGTGGGCATCCGTCGTGGCCGGCATCAGGTACGGAGGCATGTTGAAGCATGGGTTGACAGAACCACCCATCCAAGGGTACGTAACATTCGTCGTGGGCGCCGGCGGAAAGCCCCATGTGCTAGTATTTCCCATCATGTTTTGCATCACCGCCTGCGGTCTCAACATTGCTGGGAGGAGCGGAGGTAGCTGAGGCATTGACATGGCAGGCGCTTGAAACTGACCTCCTGAGGGGTCCGCGCTCATCGGAAGCGGTACCAGTCTTCCTGCCATCGAGCTATTGAAGGCCATGGGGTCTGACGCCGTGTTAGGGGCAGCGGGCGGCATAAACCCATACGGCAGTGGCTGTTGCGGCTGGGAAGTAGGGCCAGTGAGTAGCCCAAGCCCCATAGAGGGGGCAATGTTGGGCAGTCCGAGTCCTGGAGGAGGAGAAATGTTAGGTAGACCGAGGCTGGGGAGAGACACAGCATCGGTCTGTCCACTGTTGTCGGCGACAGGTTTCGCTGCGTCAACTGGAAGGGGTGGAAGCGGATGATAGAGCAACGCGTTGCCATTGTTCGAGTTGGGGCCTTGGTTGACAAACGAGAGAAACTCTCGTGCCTTGGGGTTCAAGTCCTTCAACTTGGCAGGATCCTCAGTAGGACGACTTTTGTGCCTTTCTTTGGGAGAAGGCTCGGAGCTTCGTGTCTGGTGGTTCATGAAAAACTTCGAGGGAGCCTCCTTTCGTCCATCGGCCCCTTTGGCCCGGCCGCGTAGCACGCAGGTGTCTGCCGAACCCTCTCTCCCGTCTTCCTTTGAGTCTTCTCCATAGCCGACATGTCGTTGCGGGTGTCTTTCAATCTGCAAGCTCTTGCTCTTTTGGACCAGTCTCCTGAGAAATCGTTGGAAGGCCTCGTCTCGCTCGGCCTCAGCCGCTGCTACAGGCTGCCCATCAGTCACCAAACGTGCCGTCTGGCCAGGAGACAGCCGGTCACTGGAACGAGTGTCGCTCCTGTTGTTTCGTGTAGCAGAGGTTTCCGGTTGCTCAAGGGCCTTGTTTGGTTGGCGCAGCCTGTCCGGGGTGGTATATTTCCTCTGTCCTTCTTCTTTGTGCACTGGCGGCTTTGGAAGGACTCGAACCTTGCTGGGCGAGGGCCGGGCGGCCATGAGTTCCGCTGCCATGTGCTCATCTTGAGCATCGCAGATCTTCCTTGGCGCCACGTTTTCCTTCAGGGGTCGAATCTCGACGACAGACGGCGACAAGAAGCCAGGGACCGTGCCGAGAGGGACAACTTCGAAGAGGCTCAGGGGGTGCTCACGCGAGGATGAGAGGCAGATCTGCTTCAGCACCTCGTACTGGACAGGCTTTTCCTCGTCCATGGCCTTGACAATCGTGGGTTCCAACTCAGAAGACAGGGAAAAGACATTGCGTCTGTTGTATCTCGGCTCGCTGTCGGTCGTACCATCTTGTGGCGAGTCAGTGGTTGGCTGAAGGCCGTATGAGCGCCTCTTCTCACATCTGACACCGGCTGATGGAGTATTCGGAAAGGCATCTGGCCCAGTCCATTGCTTCGCAGCACCTATCAGGGTGCGCAACTTCTGTTCGTCGTCCATAGCCGACGAGCCACTGGATTCAGAAGGGCGCGTCCGCCAATCAGGGTTCTCCAGAGCTTGCTGAGTGCTCAGCTTCTTCAGCCGCTGGTAGTCATGAGAGGGGCCCAAAGGCTTGCTGCGGATTTCGTTCTTTGATCCCGCCTCTTTGGTCATGGCAGCAGAGGGTTGTGTTCGTTTATATCGTCCGACAGTGCTAGGGGCCGACATTTCCAACCTTCAATGTCAGGTCAGCCCAATTTGTATCCCACAAGAAGCGAGCTTCACTTGCTTCCACTTACCCGTTTGCAGAAGGGGAAAACCAAAAGACAGGTGGTTGTGGATATAGTTGAGCAATCTCTGAAGCTGTGTCTGTAGGAAGCGAATGCTCTGGACGATCAAAGCCTCGGAGAGTAGGTCCTCTGCGGCCTCTTTTCCCCCTTTGTCTCTTTCGCACGAGAACGCTTCTCTGATACAATAACCTCGAAACAAGCCAAATCACGACAAACAAAAGTCCGCTCAAGAAAAGATCGCCAAATGCCGCCCCAACAACGGCGTCAACAAGAGCACACGCGTCAAGGGCAGATAGAGAGAGGAGAGGAGAAAAGAAGCGAAGCGAAGAGAACAGACGATGTCGGAGCAGAAGTAGGGTCGAGCTCGAGTCTGACAGTAGCTGGCAACTGGCAGACAGCTGGCGATATCAGGGGCCAAAAAATTCCGCGAATGGAGTCGCTGGATCTTTAACTGAAAAGAACAAAAGAAAAAGAAACAAACACGCTCAAATGCCAAAAAGAAACGGCTGGTGAAGGGGGAGCGAGAATGCAGCGATGGGCTTCCCGTGCTGAGTGATGGTAGAGAAGAAGAATCTGAGGACTCAGAGACTTGCTCCAGGCTACGTTATGTCATGAGCTGCTTGCTATGGCAACAGGGCGTCAATATCCTCAATGATACCTGCCTCAGATTTACCATGCTCGAGGGCCTCAGCCGGTTGCCCATGGTTGGCATATGAGATAACACGAAAGCAGGTGCATCTGTCCAAGGTCGCGACTCACCAGTCACTACCAAGGAAAGGAAAATATGCCCCCTCATATATGGGGAAATGTAAGATCATAATACATGACAATTCGGTCTAGACATACATAGGCAAGTCATGTGTGGTAAACAAGCTAACACGTCTTTCATCGCTGAATTCAAACTCCAAGAAGTGCTAGATCCCGAACGAGATGATACAACAAGGACAGGCAATCTTTTGTCCAAAAAGTATGTCCAAAAAGCAAGACAAAGCGCAGATATATCGCCATCCATTTTCGTGCAAGTGCCAGAGGTGAGAGCAACTCTCTGGCCAGATTTTCAGTCAGCTCCCCTTTACGCGTTCTGGGGAGCAATGCCGCCAAGGAAGACGGCAAACTCTCTCGGGTTCCTCGTCTGCAGGAAGACGGTGCCAGGACCGGTGAACTTGCAGACAAGGCCTTCTCCCGAAGAAAGACCAGAGATGAGGCCGCCAGAAGCTACACGCTCCAAAACGTAGCTCGTATTCCATGCCACGAGGTGGCCATTGTCCACGATGTATTTTTCGCCTGCGGCAAGCTATGACTCCGTGTCAGTATGTCTTCACCGAAATAGGGGGGAACCGTCAACTCACGTCTTTCCTGATGATGGCGCCAAAACTCGAGACCCAGAGCAGACCAGTTCCCGAGATTTTGTAAACAAAGAGGCCCTCGCCACTGAAGATGGCCTTGCCTAGACCCTGACGCTTGTAATCTTTGACAACAGCTTGAGTGGACGCCAGATAAGCGTCATGACCCACGGACCACTGCTCCTGGCCGGTCAGTCTGATGCTCGTAATGTCTCCCAGGGCCGAGGGCGCGAGGATCAGCTCTCCTGGTCCTGTATACGTGGAACTGGAGAGCTCTCCGCCTGCGATGATCTTCTTGACGCTGAATTTGACATTGCCCTTGAGGGTGATTGTTGGAGACATGGCAACCATGGCACCTACCGTACATTAGCTTTGAAACGACACATGACAACTCTTCCTTGCTCTCCAACTTACCTGGCTTTGCATGCAATGGGGCGCCCATGGCCAGCTGAACGGTCAAGATGGTGTTGGTGTCCCGGTGGCTGATGCGATAACTTCCGCCATTGAAGGTTCCAACGTCGTCACTCGTGGCGACAGCTCCCACAAAGTGCGCCGGCGGCGGGGCTCCACCGACCAGGTTCGCCGGGTTATTCAGATTCATCGGCGGCTTCTCCTGGGGGTACGGAGCATTCTGCTGCTGTTGGGGGAACGGCGGAGGAGAGAATTGTTGTGATTGCTGTTGTTGATGTTGGATCGGTTGCTGCTGATGCTGCTGCTGCTGCTGCTGAGGCGGCGGGGGCGATTGTACCTGCTGCTGGTAGTGGCCAGAGTCGGGCGTTGCCGCCGGGCGCAAGGCCAAGTTCAACTGCTGTGATGACGAATGCTGGTGTTGAGGCGTCTGGCTACTGGGCGGCGGCGGGTAATGGCCCGGCGTAGGCTGCTGGATCTGGGGAGAGGGCGAGTGCTGGGGCGGCGGAGCGTAGCTGGGCTGTCCAGGAGTGCCCTGAGGGGGAGGGTAGAACTGCGTCTGGTTCGCGGGGGGCGAGGTCGGGGGAGGCGCATATTGATGCTGGGGCGGCGACTGATACTGCTGCTGGGGAGGAGGAGCGTATTGCTGCTGCTGGGGAGGCGGCGCTGTTGGTTTCTCGGGTCAGAGCTGCAACTGTAGAGTAGAGTAGAGGAGAGGAGAGCCTGTCGCAATGGCTTCTCAGACGGACCTTGACCCGCGCCAGCGCCAGGCGGAGCTGTAATGATGTCGTGAGTCAGTATTTGGATGAAGCCGAGGATGCTGGGGGGACATACGCGGGTAGAAGTGCTGCTGCTGGCCGGACATGACGACGGCGGTGGACCCGGGAAATGACGATGATCGGATAGTAGGAGGAGGAGGAGGGTGAAGGGGAAGAAACGAAGATGAAGAGAGGCAGAGGACGAAAGGAAGCAGTTGGAGCTGGTCGAGCTCGCTCAAATGTAAGACGGCCAAGAGCCCCGCTTCAATTGCGAGTCGTACAAGTTGGAGTTGCTGGGCAAGACTGGGGTATCGATTAGTAGTAGCTCAGCTGAGGAGGAGCCAATATCGATGATATGGAGGAGTGCACCACGCCACTATCTAGAAGAGTCAACACCAATGGATGATGATTGTCCCATTGGAGAGTATCAAAGAGCAGATATATACCACCATAGTCGCAGTCCCTCCAACATCTACAACGATTTTACGCGCTGCATCGCCTCGCCTCGCCAAAGGTCGGAACCCCTGCCGGTTTGGAATCGCCCTGCAGCGCCCCCGCTCCAGCGCCTCCATTGGCCGGCAGCGCTTGTTAGGCGCTCTCGTCAGCGCTTCCACCACGAGGCTCACAGGGCTCACAGGGTTCACAGGGACCAGAGGTGCCACCAATCCGGTTGCATGATGCATGAACCGCTGCGTTCAATGTTGACGTTGGTCCAACCTCCAGCTGGGGACAGAACACACCGACAGTCACGGGCAACAGGCTCTCTACAGCTAGTCTAGGATCGTCATTTTGGGTACTTGTCCACCCACTGATTCTGTGGCCAGATAAGGTAGACCTATCGTACCTATGTTGGCCTCAACTGGCAAGTGCATGGATTGATGCCCTGATGCTCCGTACTATTGATCTTACCCTGAAAACCTCCACGAATGTTTTCAGGCCAGACTACAGAGTATGTACATGTACGCGAGTCGCAGCTGTAATAGGAGCATGGTTCAGTCTAAGAGAGCAAATGGATGAAAAGAAGACTGCCTGAACAAGGCTGTCGACTCCCCACTTTCATCACATATAGGTATGGGGATTCGAGTTACCCTTACCACATGTTGCATCATTCCATACCGGAACTCAAATGCATGGACTGGCAACCTGGAGAGTGTTGGATCAGAGAGAGCAACTAGTCAAACGATGGGGATCATGATTTCAATGACATGTACATAATTGATCGATTTCACTCTACTGAATCAGCAGCAGTCAAGTACTCTACTCTACTCTCAACTGTGCAATCATATGTAGGGTAGAAGATCCTGAAGTTGTATAATGGCTTCATGTTGATCGCGACGTAGATAATGAAAACGTGGTACCCAGCTTGCATTTCCCCCTACCAAGCAGTTCTCGCCAATGCCTGGTAAACTTGCTGGCTGGGAGTTCCCGCCCGCTGGCGTTTCAAGCGCAGGCTTAAACATGGCGACCTGCTGTCAGACACATACTATCTATGACCGCGGCAGAAACATGCCATGTGAAAGAAAGGGTCCCAGAAAGACGGGACGGAAAACTGGTCCAGGTACATCTGTATTTATCCCATTTACAACGTTAGCTGTAAGCCTCACGCCTCTCTCCAGCATCCTTGCTCCGCTCAAACTGCCTCATCCGTGTGCGAAGGGGGACCTTGGCTAACATGAACGGAATTTGCCCACGACTCCCCAGTGCCTGTCGTTTGCATGGAGGCTTGCTTACTGTACATGCAGTTGTATGTAGTAGTATCGTAATCCATATAAATCCCCTTCCTGCCATGAAGAGGATTTCGATCGGTCCGTGTTTGCGTGCTGTGCCACTCATGAGGACAGGGCAGCGGAAGCGAGCTTTCGCTCCTTTTGGCTACGACGCGCTGGTTTGTGGGATAAATTGGTCCGACATGGGGGCTGAAAGAGGACATTTGCAAATTTGAGCGGAGCCTCTCTTCCCGGCAAGGGCCCGCCTCCAGGAATCAGATGTGTCCCCCAGGACCGGAATTTCTGCGTTCATCTGGGAACCGAAACCTCGGAACAAAGGGGAGCGGCTGGGCAGCTGGAGTGGTGAGAGACGAACCCGATAGCTGGAAGCGAGCTGTCTGGCAAACGTTGGAACCAACGAAGTGGGTTGCATTTCCCCAGAATTAGCGACTGACTCGTCCTGCTTGTATCAAGTTCGTCGACTTCATATTATGGGTTGCAGAATAACAGTTTTACCTACTGGACCACGACCAGAAAGCCCATGCAATATTCACTCGGCCGCATGGCATGACGGCACATGGACTCCCTGCTCCGCGTGTCGTTCGCCGGAACAGCTGGATCGTTTTGCACAAGACAGCCATAGGCGATCATGATGCTGGCCGCAGGGCTTCGGCATCCACGCTTTGCCAAACCCGCTGGTAGCATTGCAAGGGCTGATCCAGGTGCTATACATAAACGACACTCTGCCGTACTGTATCGGCTCCGAGATGCCCTGGCAGCGGAAAGGCGGACCGACACGGAAAGCTCCCTGACAATAAAAGGGAGGGGGGCTGCATACACCAATGTGGTGGTATTCCAGGTGGGCAGCATGCATCATGAACGAGTATGTACCCTACTTCGTACAGCAAGGCATTTTGTTCCTATTCTGAATGAATTGGGTGCTTCTGCTCACGGAGGGGGTTATAATATTAGCAGTCCAGGTCCGGTATGCGCCATGATGAATGCCGGCCTCATTCACGCATCTGTAGCAGATGGGAGCAGGTGTTAGCATCAATCCCGGTAAATAGCATAGCTTAAACACTGGCAAAGACAGGGCTGGAGAGAGAACCAGTATAGTCCACGAGTCGAGCTATCAAAAAGGCAGCACCTACTGCTTCATCCCAGATGGTTCTGCTCGGAGCTCAACCGCTCGTCGGGGGGGCAGTTGCGAGTCTTGGGGTGTAACACGACCGGTACGCATCGTACGATGCCGATGTTCTGTATAAAGGTGGTACAGTTGAGTAACACTGCAGCCAATGTCACTTTTACACGAGGGCGAAGCTGTATTAGTTGGCGTGGGGTCCGGCCGAAGCTGCCCGTCCTTTCTAATTCTCTTCTGGATTGACATTACCCCTCGACGACCTCGTGGCCAGTAACATCGTGACGAGATGCCTCCTTCGCTAAACTTCCACTGCTCCCGACTCCGTACAGTGTGCAGAGTTTCTGCCTGCCCCGTCATCTTGACAATCGACGAGGGATCGTAGGAGCAGTTGCCCGGATTGTCGGGAGCGCTTTGCTTTGGAATCCGCATGAGCTTGCGGCCATGGAGAGGGCCCGCGTCGCGCCCCGAACCCAAGCGCTCGGTCCACGGAACGAGCTCCGATATATCAAGGAGTACGGTCATAGTAATACGTACCTGGACAGATTGGCTGGAGAGGAAACGCAGCGGCGGTAACGCCAAGGTTAGTACGGAGTAGCGAGAGTAGACTCGAGCCAGGAGTGCCAGGTTGATCACACGTGTGATGCAGCCAGGGTGAGGATGCTGGCCCCCAATGGTCGCCCTGTCCATCGTATTCGAGCATAGCAAGCATACACACATGCAGTTGTAGGTAATAGCTGTAGAACCTTGCATGCGTGATTCGTCCTCGTAGCTTTACTACCGGCGAATGTCGACTCGCCTAATCTCGGACAACTTTGAGCAACCTTGGGGATGAAATTCAGGAGCCTGTGCATAGGATTGGAGAGACTTGGCCCTCGATTGAGTTACAGCAGGAGATGATGGCTGCCCGGTATATTGACCCCGTAGCCGGTGATGACTACATGTGCATACTTGTAAGGTACGAAGTAGGCAACATGAACTCGACATCGTTCTCCTCTTACCCTGTTGTCAGTTGCATGTTTCCGTCGATGGCGGTTGTAGCTAATCCGGCGTGCTCCGTACTGCATCAGCTCCGTATTCCTCACGTTGATGAAGACAATGCCCTCTCATTTTTGGTCAATAGCTGCTTGGCACGCTCGCATCTGAAGCTCAATTGGGGGGCGCCCCCCCTAGCAAACGTAATCCTCGAAATAGGACCAGCACGGACGAGATGAGCTTCTCGCGCTTCGGCATCAAGTCAGATAGCGTGGCATTTGACCAGCATTGATGAGCATCAATGCCGCCAGGGGGATCAAGGGGATCCTGTATTAGGTATCTGTCACTGAGATTAGCGCCATCCTCGTATGTACTTTGTTGGCTCAATAGCCTGTGCCCTCCTTGTACAGACAGGCATCATGGGCCAGGTTGCTGGAGATGTTAGCCGCGATGGGAAGCGTGTTCCGAGATGACCCTGGAAGGCCTCGTACTTTGACCAATCGCCTGTCCGTTTCGAAGTGGCGCCGAGCCAGTTTGCTGGGATTTGCACTCTTTGAATGATGAGTGAATGCCAGGAGGTGTTAGTGAGCAGTCGGCAGCGTCACAGCAAGGTGAAGACAGCCCTGCACACCGGGATTTGCTCCAGCCTTGATCCTGGCCTTTACGACCGCGGGCGAGAGCGGGCTGTGGGGACGGCCGCAGAGGAAAAAAAGAAGAAGAGAAGCAAAAAGACGGATCGCGAGTGGATGAAGTTGGTAGTAGCGGATGGATTCGACACTTTGGCCTGGACCCCGGTCGAGAGGATGCAGAAGCCTTGATACCTGGTACCGGACTGTCGGAATCTGAGGCAATGCACGCACTGCAGGAGCCGTGCTAGGCTGTAAGGGCACACGCGGCTATGGGGCTTGGAGTATTGGAGGCAGCACAGGTCATGTCGAATGATATCATGGAGTTATCTGGAGGAGACATGACTGAATGATGCAAATATTATCAATGACCGAAGAGAGTACATGTATCAAGTGACGGCCGGACATGGTAACGAGAGGAAACATTGAAGAGGGCGCCCACTCGGCAACGAGGCGATGAAGAGGGAAAATGGAAGTGTGACCGAAACAGACATGCCTGGTAATAGCGCTAGGAAATACACATTGGGCGGACACGAATACTCCGTACCAGCAGTTGAGGATCAGGTATCATCACTCGCTCTGTGTCTTTCAATTTCTCATCGATTGAGCTGTTCCTTTGGCACAGCAAGTGGCCGTCGTTTGGATCGGTGTTGGATGCACATCATATGCATGTCTCAGCCGTTAGCTACTAAATCGTGCTCATGCAGATGACTTGATGACATTTGAGGTCTCTCTCAACCGTTGCATGGCCCCGACGCCTTGTTTCGGCCCCTTTGACAGCAGACGTACCCAGACTGCTGCCCTGCATGTGCCTCGTTTAACCCAGCCCGGGCACTTGGCTCCGCAGTCTGGAGTATCTGTACCGATGTTGATGTAAATCTCCCAACGGTCGGCTCAGACACAAGCGAAGCTTGGCCCTCACATGCACACATTGAACGCAGAATGTAGTACTACAGCCTTGTACAGCCTTCTGCGCTCCGAATGGGTGTTCTCGTAGGTACGAAAGGCAAGATTGAAGGCAAACGCCAAACTCCGAGCCAGCCCGCTCCGATGTACACCTCATGTTCGAAAAAAGAACAAGAATGCTCAGCTCAGCCCGCTCCGACGTGCACCTCATGTTCGAAACAAGAAACAAGAACTGAATGCTTAACTCAGCGCGGTCCGAACATGTGCATGTACACAACTGTACGTGCACCTTGCTCACTCGCACGCGGCTGGCCTGCCACGGCTGGCTGTACCTCTACCTGGCCCTGGACCTGGCCTCGTGCTCTCGGCGTCTCTCTGTGTCGTAGGTAGGGGGCCTGGCACAACGCTGGCGGGTCTCTTTGAACCAGCTCGGATGCGCTCCAGCTTGTCCGCGGCGTGGCTCCATGTCACTTGGAACCTAATTAATAACAACGACAGCTGCAGTGGGTGGATGAGATGGAGGAGGGACCATGAAGGGTGTAACGCTGAACAGTGGGATCCCGTGGTGACGGTTGCCCTGGCCCCGAACGGAGAGCATAGCAGAGCAGTGCAGAGTAGAGCCGAGAATAGGTAGCTGATGCCATGTGAAAATAGCTTCTTCCAGAACCCATCCATGCGTCTCTCGTTGCCTCATGTCTGCTGAGGTGCCCTGTCAGCATTGTCCGCCCTGGAACTCTTCGACTCCATCGCCGACGCGGCGTTGCCCAACTCGTCCCAGCCCCGGAACTGCCCTATTAGCGGATCGTGGCTAGAGCGCATCCAGCTAGCCGGTGGCAGCTGTAGCGCCCAATCCATCCAGTCCGCTGAGCATCAGTGCATGTGGTGAGTGGCTTCACGCCGGGCGGGCCTGGGCTGCTTCCCAGCGCTACGGACGGCCGCCTCGGTTCCCACAGTGCAGCGTGGACTGGCCGGGGTCGCGTCCCCTCAGCATTGCATCCCCTCCAGCACCCGTCCTTCGGGACCAGCGCCGCTGTCCTTGGGAACGGGATCCAGGGTTTGCTGCTGCCTCTGCCAGGTGTCAGTCATCCTGCCATCCCTGGCCCTGCCCCAGCAGCGATGAATTGCATGGATGGCGCGCACAGTGTCATGTCTCGGCAAGTGAGCTGCTGATGGCGCCCCTACAGCACAGGGCAGGGCAGGACAGGACAGCAGCTGGCCGCTACCGCCGCTGGTGCTGGTGCTGGTGCTGGTGCTGGATGGATGGCCCGAGGCGCGGGTGCCCTCGTCGCCGCCCATGTAGATGCCTGTACCTGCCAGCCGCGCCCTCGTAGCCGGTACCGCGCCGCTGCTCCCGGCTGCTGCTGACGGCGCCCTGTCCGGGCGGGCACCAAAAGTACAGGATCCCAGCACATGGCCCTGCCACTACCTTGTCATGACCTGTCGACACTTACCAGGTGGCAGGATTTTAGCTCTCGCCCGTCCAAATCATTGCTAGTAAACCGGGTCGGGGCTTCGCGCTTTCCCTCTCCCACGGTAGCCCGCAACACTACGAGTACATCTATCTTAGCCGCCCCCCAATCCTCGGTGGCTTCAGTTCTTACTTCATATTCCTCCTTCTCCTCCTTCTTCTCCTCTTTACTGTACCGCCAGCTGACGCTGCCTTCACACATTCACTTCGACCTCTCGTCGGATACATATTCTGGTTGTCCAACACCTTGCACCGAGCCTTCGCTATTACTACACCGTCATCGCCTTGTGCCTTGGACAATATCCTAACCGGCGGTTGTTGGTTATTGCCTGTACGAGTAATAGCGGGGATACAGGGACAATCCACTCAGCGACCGTCGACAGCATTTGCGAGCCAGCAGCCTGGGATAATTGACATCACCTTCGCCTGCGGATGCTTGGTTATGAGGTGACCCCTCACCGAGACGGGACGACGACAACACCACCATGGAGCCTGAACGCACCTCGCCACACAGCGCCGCTGTCAGCAGCGACATGACAGCGCCCCAGCTGCCATCCGGGCCCGATGCCTTGCCTATTACCGCTTCGGATGCTCCCTCGATGCCCAGGCCCAGAGCCCGTGAGCGTCAACAAACACAGAACAGCCTTCTCATGGAGCTGCTCTCTCGCCGCATGAGTCGACAAACCCTCCTACAGCAGCAACAAAACCAGTCACGTACCTCTCAGCCGCCTCTCACTCCACAGTCACCACAGCCATCCATGTCCTCGTCCTCTCACTCGCTGGTTCACAGCGACTGGAGTGCTTCGAACAGTGTGACCATGGAAATCGATGTCGACGAATCATCCAACAACGATGTTTCGCTACCTTTACCATCATCATCACGTACTCAGAGCATCCGCCCTTCGCGGCGATACCTCCCGCTTCCCTACATTGCTCCAGTTGCCCCTGCGACCAACATTGATCCGGACGTCGCCTCCAGAGTATTGGCTAGAATGCAGGCCAACACGCAACCTGCACTGGACTCGGTCCCAGTGCCTACGAATTCACCCTTGGCCCCAGCTATTGAAATCGACCCGACTGAGCTGGTAGACGCCGATGTCGAGGCTGATGAGGGCTATGGCGAAGGGCCCGAAGAAGAGTTTTCATGGCTCGGCGAGAAGCCTTCCAGTGGCCTTACCGGAGCCCTGAGGAATCAAGGCCTCCTGAGCTTCACCACGTCCGCTGAGGCTGCCTTGCGCTGCCCTAAGCTTGTGCGGAATGTTCCTCGCATGCGGAAGAGGACGCAGAAGAAGAAGGAGCACAGACTCCGGGCGTCGAGAGGTACGAACGGCGAGCCGAGCCAAGCGCAGGCACCCACAGCCGGTGCATGCTAAATCACGAAACAAACACATTGACTTCTCACACGCGGTTGTTGGCGCACCAACAACGACTTGAACACGATACTTATGTGGCGTTTTGGGGTATTATATCAGATTGCATTTTGTTCACGGATTCATTTTTCTTTTGGCGCGGCCGGCTCTTCACTTCTCGGATTGTTGTTAATTCACCACACGTTTCAAGTGGGCTACGGGAAAAAGAGAGATGTCAATGGCTTGTCATATTCCAACATATACACTGGCGTCTTGTTTCCACTCTTTTCTACAATTTGTCTTTACTTATCTTCCATTATCTGGTTCTGCTCAAGAGGACGCAACGCCCCGGCTCCCTCTCCGCAAGACGAGTACGGCCAGGTCGAGTGGGATTTCATGGCTCATTCGCTTTTGGGGTAGCCGAGCAAGAGTTGGGACTGACTCGTCCTGTGCAGGCGGGGGTGAGGATGGCGCAACATTGGGAGGATCCATCTGGGTGCATCTTGGTAAAAGGACTGGGTACGGCGTTATTCCGGATATGCAGGTTGGGATGCTTTTGGGACTGGGAGCAATCTGAGTTGAACGGGACGTGGTTTGACTCGCCGACGCGTGGACTTGGATGACCTCCCCCACGCGGGACACAGACGAGGTGCGACGTATCAAATGCTCGGACGTTTGATTGTTCTAGAGCACGCGTACAGACAAGAGTAGGAGTGAGGCAATACTACACCACTACTACTTATCTACCTATTCGTACACACCTGAGGAACACCTTTCACATGCTCGCATGCTGACCTGATGCTACTACATATTAATATTGATGACTTGCTCTTGCACCGGGGCGTTGGATGCAACACACTCTCCCTGTACTCCGTACCTGTCTCTACTCTGTCACACACTCTCACTCGCCCGCTCGCGATTCCCCCGCCCTGCCTCCGTCGTCCTACATAGTAGTACATGTACCTACATGTGCATCGTTAGTCCGTACATGTGCATACAATGCTACTGCGTACACATCACGGTTTTCGTGCTACAGTGCCTATTAATCAGTCCACGTGGTGCCAGCGTCTCCTGCTCATTGTGTGTCCACTCGGATGCATCCAAAGTCCAAGTGGCCGGCGGCCCCGACGGAGTTCAATTTCGATCTTGGATACCAGCATCGGATATTATTAGTAGTTACCGCCTTTGCTTGTCGAATTGCGATAGGTTGTACATACGTCAAACGTGGATCGTGATTGTATCCGCCATACCGCCGGCCTGGGCGCGGCTCGGGTACCTGCTCCATCGTACTAGCACTGGTGCGGACGCTTGTACAAGGTACCGCCGCCGATTGGGGCGCGGGCGGGCAACATTGGAGCCGATCCAGGTCCGGGATACTTTGCAGTGCTACCAGCTGGAAGGTAACCGCGATTAGCAGCGCTCTAGCAGTTTAACCTTAACAGAACCGCTCAGCAGGACTTGGAAGGCGGCATCGTGATGTGCGCAAGACGTAAGTAACAAGCAGCCAAGGCGGTGAGCCTCTTTTCCGCGCATATGCCCCAGCTGCAGCTCCAGAATTCATTTCTTTTTTTTTCCCGACTACCGTCTGCACCGACCGGGACCTTCATCTCTCACTGCATGCGCTCTTCAGCCTGGTTCACTACTTCTATTCCTGTCGTGACGGTGTTTGTTTGCTTCCTGCTGCGGTCACTTTCTGTCCAATGAGCGCGCATCTGCATTATGCAGGTCCCGGGCGGCCGCAAAGCGCCGGGGTCCTTTGTTGTCACTTCCTCCCTTCCCTTCCGATAGACGGACTATCGGAGCTGGAAGTTCTTACGAGGTAGCAGCAACGGCAGCAGACGCATCGTCGGTCGATCTGGAATCGAGAGCAGCTTCATGGGTCGTGTAACTCAAGCACAGGCACCAGATGGGTGCTACACTCGCCCAAGGGAAATTGCTCTTTCTTCCCTCCGAGGCGCGCTGAACATGCTTGGGAGAGGCCCGGCTGTTGAGACTCTCATGTCCCCGTCTCATCGTTTCCATCTCATCTGCTTCGTGGGCTTCCCCTACTTACGAGGGTCAAGTGATCCCTGTGAGGCGGGACGCCAGCTCGAGAATGGTGTCAGATGGGGGTCAGTGAGGCTCTGGGTTTCGATAGGTGGGTTCTGGATGACTACGGCCTTGCGAGATCGATCGGTACAGCTCGGAAAGGAGGATCGAATTGTGTCTTTTTGTCTTGAGAGACACGACCACCCCTCCCCTGCTCTCCTAGGGAACCGCCGCCCTTTGTGCACAAACTCGAGGCAGTTGCCTGGACCCGCCCAACCTCCTGGTGCCGACTGGCTTCCTCCCTTCACGGCGGCTGTTGACTTGGCAATGACATTCGTCGCTGAAACATTGCTCCCACTCGCGTGGTTATGCATGGTCTTGGTGGTTCAACTTTCCGGAGCAAGGCACAGGTACGGTTGCACTAGATGGTAGGGATAAGGGATCGACGCTCACGATGACCATCGAATACTAGTAGCAAATAGGCCGGCTGCAAGTGCACCCACGCTGGAAGGCCGAGTTGGCACCTACTCGAGACGCAGGGCAGAAGAATGGACGAGGGAGTCGGATGCCCTCGCCGTGCATGGCCGCAGCCGCAGCCGCTGTCAAGGCCGGCGATATGCAGGGTCATCTCATCGGAGCCGCGTACCGCATCGTTTCATCCTGATCGTCGTTTCCTAAAGCTCTCATTTCTGGGAGCAGCATGTTCGAGGCCCGATCCACTGGCCGATCCGAGCGAACGCCTGTTGCTACCACCGAGTGGTCATGTTACCCTTTGCACAGGAACACCCCACACACATGCAAATGCAGGTTGCCGGCGCCAGATCGTAGCGTCATGGCTCTTTGTCTAATTACCTTCTTGATCCATAACCTTCCCCTTCTCTGGCATCTCTTTGGCTGGAGGGCCATCAGCTGCGATGAACTAGCGGGAGAGCCCATGGCAAGGCTGCTGTGTTGCTGCTTGTGGCGACAGAGCTGGCGCAAGGCAATGGAATGCGTCGCCACGGCCCCGTACATTCCTCTTCCGTATGGGGAAAACTCGGCGAGGAACGAAGAGCTGCGGTTGCTGTGGTATCTTTTCCGGAGACATCACTCGGTTTGCGATATGGCATTTACGATGGACGAGCTGGTTAGTTAATGAATCTCCTTGCGCTCCGTGCTCGAGGAAGGCCTGTTCGACAGACCTCCGTCTCTTCTCTCTCTTTCTCTGTTTCTCTCTTTTCTTTCTCTTCCTCTCGTCTCTTTCCATGTCATAGCTCTCGGTCCCTACTCTCTCACTATTTGGCATTAAGATCTCTCGGAAATCTATCCTTTTAATCTCGAGACACACAACTCCACTCCTTTTCCATTCTCGCTCTTTCTCTCGCAGTTTATCTTTTCCTCTTTTACTTAACTGTATAGTCGAATCCGGTCAACACCAGCGGCCCCGTACAGCATTTGGTGCCAGTCACTTATGATAAGCCGCCTCGTCTGTAATGAGAAGCTGTATGCTAGCCGCATCCGTCAACGACCACTCAGTCCGCCACTCCCGAATTCAACCCTCTCCCCACCACGGGCATCTTTCAATGGCTTTCTGGACCGCCCAATTCCGGGTCGACCCTACCGCCGATAGAGAGTCTAGCATGTATGCGCAGGGACCTGACGGCCTGCCATCAGATGCATCGAGCGACTTGTTCGGACAGTTTATGAACTTTGACGGAGATGGCGCCACCAGGACCCCCCTCGATGACAGCCGCGGGGGCGACTCGACGACAATGGGAGGAGTTCCGGATTCGTTCTTTGCGAGCCAGACGGCCCCAGGTACTGCCTCGTCGGCCGTCTCGTCGATAGACGAATTCGACTTCTTTCCCACCAGCTCCCACATCGGGCAGACCACATCCGCGGCGAGCCACGGCCTGGACGCCCAGGAGCTTGCTTTCGGAGTAGCTGCCGATCCGGCTACCAGCGGAGCCCATCAGCTCAACCAGCTCAGTCTCAGTCTCAGTCGCAAGTCCATGTCGGAGACCGAGCTCCAGCGTCTTGAAGACATCTCCCTGCACTCCCCGCGGAAGAAGAAATCGTCTGTCTCGCACCCACCGTCTCCCACGCCGCCCAATACCTCTTCCAGGAAGCCCAAGAAGCTGGTCGAGGCACTGTCCTCCACCCTCCGCAAGGCAACGACGCTCGGGAGACGGAGCAAAAAGCAGCAGCCGCAGCAGCAGCAGCAGCAGCCTCATCCTTATCCTCCAACGGACCGGGCAGCATCTCCCACACTCGACCATCCTCCCATGGCCATCAAGTCTCGAGCCGCACGGATGCCGAGCACAGGCCAGACCACCGTAGGCAGCGTCTCCTACACGACGCCCTCGCCCACATCCTACGACAACAGCACGCCGACGTTCCACCCAGTTTTCTGCGAGGACCCTTTTGCTGAGTCGCCGAGAATCTATCACTCTCCAAGCATGCAGTTCTACCATGGCGCAATGGATCCAGCGCCGATGCATTCCTCCGCCCGCCGCATCAAGAGCGAGCAGCATCTGTACCAGGCAGCGTCAAGCATGATGCCCTCCCCGGTCGCCGTCGATCCCACCTCTCAAGCTCCTCAGCCGGGGGCCTGGCCGCAGCAAATAATGATGGCGGAGCAATGGGGCGGCGGCGCGAGTGCCGACTTTGCGGCAAACCAGGATCCAACATGGTGGGATCTCGACCTCAATGCCAGCATGAACCAAGCAATGCACTCGCAGCACGGCGAGCTGCCCTACGAATACGCGCCCCTGCCAGACGCCAACGCAGCCGGCCTCATGATTCACATGCCTCAGCCCCGGCCAGTCGTCACTGACATTGGCCTCAACGCGCAGACGTATCTGCCGCCTCCACCGCCGCCCATTCCGCCTGCAGACCGTTGCAGCCGGCCACCGCGGGCTCCATCCTCGGGAGCACGGCATCGCAACTTGTCGTCGTCGCCCATGCGAAAGACCCGTGGCCCTTCGGCGTCGCCCACGCCGATGCCAAATCAGCTGCAGATGCGCAACCAGTCGCGGCACAGCTCCACGGGGTCCGTCTCGTCCGTCCGTAGCGCCTCCGGGCGAGGCCCTGGAGCAGCGGGATCCGCGCCCAACACACCGGGCGGCGTACGCAAGCGCAGGTCGCGCGATGCCGGCGCGGGAGGAGGGGGAGGAGGAGGCGGCATCGGCTTCGGGGGCGACGGCATAGGGTTCGTCAACTTCACGCCCAACGACGGCAGCATTCTGATGACGGGTGTGGCCCCGAGCGGGAGCTCCAAGACGAAGGCGCGAAGGGAGAAGGAGGCGCAGGAGAAGAGGCGGCGGTTGAGCGAGGCGGCGATGAAGGCAGTTGCCGCGGCAGGGGGGGACGTGGACAAGTTGATACAAGAAGGGTTTGTGTTTTGATTTGCATGATACCATTCAATTCTTTTTGGTTACCGTCTCTACCACTGCAGCTTTCGCGATACTCTGTCTCTTCATTGCTCTTCTGGATTTGTCCTATAGGGTTAATTTAATGCTTTGTTGTTTCGTTCTATCTGTACGCCCTTCTCCCTTCGTTTGCGTTGGCGCCCAGCACGTCGGCCAGCGATTTCCAGAGCGTTATTTGTCTCTCATCCCCGTCTGCCACGTCCTCTAGAAGAGAAAGGAGCCGGACATGTGGTGAGCAAGTGCGGTTGGCAGGAGTATCATGGCATTTCCATGGACGACACACAAAAGACACGATACTGAGCGTCTATTCCCTCTTTTATTTAGCCTTCTCTTCTTCTTTTCTGTTTGTTTTCTCCTCGGTCTTCTTTCTCACATTCATGGTTCATGCAGTGCCTGCTTCTACTTATTTTCTACTTCACTAGACGGATATTTTCTACAATAGGGCTTTTTTAATTCAACGTTGTTAAAAGTACAGACATTACCGCTCCCCTCTGTCTTTTGTTCCTCTTGATTCACGCGATTTTATAAATCAACTGCCAAACTTTCTCTCTTTTACAGCCGTGTTTTGATATTCTTTGTCGCTATTGTCGTTGACGGTTTGTCGGTTCTTGTTGCGTAAGGACTGGTCCAGTATCCCTGTCCTTGTCCTTTGTGGTGATTGTGGTTGAAAAAGGCCGGAAAAAGAAGGGATCCCCTTTTCTTTGTTGAAGCTTTCCTCCCCCGCTTCTTCACAGCGGGGGGGGAGGGTGCTTGGAACTCTTGGATGTTTTCGGATGTTCGCCACAGTTCGGCGGTGATCAAGTGACCTGGTAAATCAGCTGTTGGGACTTCGTCACAAGTGTAGCTTGGCGAGAAGAGAAAGAGTTGGGATATCAATGGAGTAGCGATAGAGGAATGGTTCAAGGGCACAAATATGGCGTCAGATAGATAACAAGTCTAAAGGATATTCGCACACTCACTCATAGGAGTCGTTTCTTAGTAGCCACGTATATTGCAGTATTCTGCTTTACAACACGGGGAATTGCCTCCCTCAGATGTACTAGACCTGTAGCCTTAACTGTATGATCCCACATGCATAATCCATGATGCCCTCCGCCTGTCCAGCCCCTTATAAATGATAGTCGTATATACAAAGGAGTAGGACGTGGAGCGGAGCAAACCAGAGTAAAAAGGGAAGAAGTCCAGGCCTTTGGTTGGCCGTCAATGTACCGTAACGCCAAATACATCCTTACAAACGCCGTCATGCCTCCTAGCTCTTCATGATATCGGCTCCCGTCCGCCATTACATGGCGGGTCTTGCGAAATCATGGACACTACAATTGCCGTTCTGCAGCGTAGAACCCTTTCTAGTGGTCATAACCTGCGCCGCGCTGCCATGGACTGCAGAGGAAGACATGAGTTAGCTAAAGATAACGAAAACTTTTGCAAAGGGTGCGAATGCTTACCTGGCATTGTGCTGTGACCGAGTTGACCGAGTGCCGCTTGCTGGAGTGGCCGTGTCCGTCCGCTGCGGCCCCAAGGAGGTCCCAGAAGCCAGAGGGCTTCCGAGTTCCTCTCTCAGAGGACTGTGGTTGGCTGGGCCTCGCTGAGCGGGATACAGCGGGATGGCAGCGTGGGGCTGCCCCTGGCCGTTGGCATAGAGTGAGTTTTGCGAGTTTGTGCCAGAGACGCTGTAGGCGCCAGAGGCCTCGTTGTGCTTGCGGACATCGCCAGACGACATGGACTCGTTGTCATCCACGTCAAAGCCGCCCTTGTAGCCAAGCTTGTCGCCTCGAGCCGTGGCAGCCAGAGCGTCGAGCTCGGTGGTCGCGTTCAGCTGCGACTGCGACTTCATGAAGGAGGCGCGGTCGTCCGACATGAATTGGTATCGCGCATCCGGGTTCTTGCGCATCAGAGACAAAATGGTGGACACAATGACCATGATGAGCAAGATGAGGGAAAAGGCCGCGTTAAGGATGAAGAGGACGACGCCGACGACGCCGACAACCAGCAGCGGGGCATCAAACACATTAGTGAAGATGAAGAGGAAGATTGCGTTAAGAAAGTTGACGACGCCGATGGCAATGTTGAAAGAGTTGGTGCTCTTATCCATCCAGGGACGGAGGACCGAGGCTGCGATGAGGAAACCAGCTTCGATAATGATGAGAGCGATGGCCTGGGTGACACCGCTGCGCTGGGCCAGCGCAATGAACATGGACTTGATAAGGGTATAGAAGAGAAGCGGGATGATGAAGTAGTAGGCCGACGCGCGAAACTGGACGTAGAGGAAACCCCACTTGTTGAGAGCCTGCGGGTCGGAGAACAGGATGTAGGCGGGATTGCGGTGCATGGCGATGGAGCGGCGGGCGATGCGGATGACCTTGCTGGCGCCCCAGGCCAGGGTGAAGAGCGGGCCGAAGAAGAAGAAGACGGCGAGGACAACCTCGGCGGCCGAGTCGCGCTGGGTGAATTCCCACAGACAGAGGATAGCCATCTGCGGGAAACCAATCAGGCAGACGCGGAAGAGGATGCCCTTGAGGACGGTGATCCAGCCGTTTCGGAAGTCGAGGAACTTGTCGCGCTTCATGAGGCCGCGCTTGGCGAGAAGCTCGAGGAAGCCCTTGAAGGCGGCAACGGCGCCGGCGACGATGAGGGCAAAGATCCAGAAGAAGACGAGGCCAGTCATGAACAGGTTGGTGGTCTCAATGCCGGCCTTGAAGGCGACGCGCTGGATGCCAAACACGATGTAGCTTCCGGAACCGGTCATGACGTTGCCGCGCTTGAGAAGGTTGACAGCGGGCTTGGGCATCATGGCCACGCTGCGCTTGAAGAGGCTGAGGCCGGCCTGTGCGACCTGGAGGCCGCGCTTTTCGATCTGGACGGAGACGGTGGTGAGAGAGTCGAAGATGGTGGAAGGCGTCCCGCCGGTAGCGCGCTGGTACCAGGTGAAGATGGTCTGCATGAAGCCGACGCGGATGATGCCCATGGACCATTGGAAGTCCTGGGTCCAAGCCTGCACGATGGGCGGGAGACGAATTCCGGTGAGGCCGATGATGGCCTGGGCCTGGAAGTAGCCGAAAAGCGAGAGAGAATTGGCGGCGACGTGGGCGGCGGTGGTGGAATGTCCCAGCCCGTTGATGATGGCGGACGAGACGAGGGCCAGGCCGGCGATGACGGCGGTGGCCCACTTGACGCCGACGAGATTGACGGTCTTTCCGTTGGAAACGTCGGCCTCGACACAGGCAACACTGTCGCTGGTACCGGTCAAGTTAACCCGGACCTTGACGGTGGCATCCAAGTCGGGAATCTGGTAGGCGATGCCGGGAATCTGAGATGCAGCCGAGGGGCTGACGGGCAGATTGAAGCCGAAGGCGATGTTGCCGGATACCATGGGGCAAAGGCCTTGGAGTCCAATGTCGCAGGGGTCGACGGTCTGCCTGAGAAAGGTGTAGCCGTACGCGGATGCCTCGATGTCGAACTGGACCTTGCCCTGGACGGACGACGTGGCCACCATGTTGATGCTGGCCGAGTTGTTGTTGGGCGTGTAGACGACATTGAAGAGACTGGCCTGCAAGCTGGAGTCTTGCTGGCAGAGGTTGAGCGAGTTGGACAGCAGCATCCTCTCCGCGGCGGCCGGCGACAGCAGCGAAGCCGTCATGGCCAGCAGGGCCAGCGGCGTCCTGAGGAACGACCGCATAATGATGACGATTGGTTGAATGCTGTTATTCTCTTGGTGTTGAATATGGTATTCAGGCGACGGGCTTCCCGCGAGTCGCTGTCGAGCGAAAGAGCTGTGGGGTCGTAGATTACAGCACCGCGATGGCGTCAATGACGGAGAGGAGGCTGAGCTGAGCGGAATACGAGGTCAGACGAGCCAAAAGCCAAAGCCGGTGCGCGCGGGCGTGCCTGCTTTTGTCGCTCTCGTCGGCACAGGACAGCTTGAGCGCCCTCGAGGCTGCGTTTATATTTCTTTTCGTATCGATCCGATTATTTGTCTCTGTCCGGTCGTGTGAAAATGACGTGTTGCTGGGGGATGCAAGGGTTGATGACGAAATGGGCAGATCTGCGGAGCGAGCGAGATTTTGCGAGTCGGTAGAACGAAGACTAAAACGAACAGTTGTGAAAAATGATGAAGAGAAGGCGAAGAGTCGCTGATTGGCACCGACAACGTGCCAGAGGATGAGGGCGGATGCGTCGGCGCCGGACGGGAGACTGAAGCGAATGGAGGGGGATGGATGAGTCTGGTGAGGATGGCGAGACGTTGCACAGAGAGAGTTGAGTTGGAGGAGAGAGCAGAGAGGGAACAGGGGGGAGGGCCTGAATCTGTGGTGGAGCTGATCAGTGCAGGCGATGGAACTCACTGTGCATCAGCAGCGCATCAGTGCGGCAGCGCGGCTACAGCTGAGCGCCAATCAGTGGACACGGGAGGCTTCAGGCGGGTGTCTACAGGCATTGACTAGGTGCCCGTACCAAGGAATCAAGAGCGCTAGAGGGTCCAGCCACCGCGAGCAGCTGGCCGAAGGGAGACGCTTGCACTGGAAGTTGGTGGTTGGCATTCCCGGCCTGTTTCTGTGTGAGTATATCTACAGTGCTGTACGGAGCATCGACGGGGCCGCGGATCGCTGGAGCATCCATCCGCGTCGTATCCCGTCCCTCGTAGCAACAGGCTAAGAATAGGGAACATTTCGCATTTAGCCAGATGGATGGATGCCAGATTCGAGTCCCGGTCCCCGTAATACAGGTATCTGGCCGTTCAAACCACATGGAGCGTCGTGGCGTTACTCGTGCCGGCCATGCGGGGTACATGCCCATGGCCCTGCGTCTCCACGCGATCCGAGGTACCCGGTCGGTGCGCCCCAGGTCTCTTTTGGACTCCACCGGGGCAGAATGTCAGTTGTGTGGGTTTGATCCCCGATGTTTTTTTTGTCCTTTTTTCTTGGTTTTGCGCAGTTTTTGTTGGATCCGGATAGTCGGGTGCCGGATTTGATGACGGTTGCCGGAACTGGTCTTGTGTTTTCTCTTTGCATCTGAATACCTGTAGTTATTATTGCGAGTCTCGTCCACCTTGAGTAACGGCTGCTGTCAAATACAAGCACCTCTGTAGGCATGCAACTGAGATACTAATCCCATCAACCACTCACTCTCTCCCTTTTCCAGCATTCTGACACGCAAGACATTGGGGCTGGGAATTCCAGTCATACAGACACACTCACACAATACATACTCAGAGAAGGCCCGGAATGTCAAGCACCCAATCAGATATCTCAGACTTTGGAAGCTAGAGGTGCAAAGTCGAGGCATGGCGGTTGCGAATTGCTCATGCGGCGCAGCTGAGACGGAGATGGCCAGGGCAGCTTGGCAGCCCCAACCCTGTTTCGTGATAGGAGCGTCATGCTGAGAGGGAACTTTCTGCTTCAATGTTCCCGTGGCTGAAGTTGTCTACCTGGTATATGCAATTTTCAGTAATTCTACTAGTTTCTATCCTCCGAAACGGTCAAAGTGAACGTCAGTATCTCATGAGTGGAAGAAGGAGTGAAATAATACGAGAGAAGAGGGAAAAACAGGCTTCGTCTTTCCAGCGCCCAGCATTGACAGGCTGACGACAATTCCTGTCCCGTGCACCTGAAACAAGACGGTGCCTCTTGATTTCATGTGAAACAGCTGGAAGAACTGTCAGTGTGCTTTTTT